CGTGAATGCCAACAATGTAAATAATTACAATAACTAATGTCAGAATACACATCGTGAATATGGCAACGAAATGGACAATATTCCTAACAATGTAAATAATACAATACCTAATGTCAGAAATATAGATAGTTCTAGTTTCTGAGAGAACAATGCCGAAATGAATATAAATGTGGACAATATTCCTAACAATGTAAATAATTACAATACCTAATGTCAGAAATACAGATAGTTCTAGTTGAAGGCCTGAGAGTACAACTGCCGAAGCATCGTGAATATGGCAACGAAGATGTGGACAATATTCCTAACAATGTAAATAATTACAATACCTAATGTCAGAAATACAGATAGTTCTAGTTGAAGGCCTGAGAGTACAACTGCCGAAGCATCGTGAATATGGCAACGAAGATGTGGACAATATTCCTAACAATGTAAATAATTACAATACCTAATGTCAGAAATACAGATAGTTCTAGTTGAAGGCCTGAGAGTACAAGCCGAACATCGTGAATATGGCCGAAGACAATATTCCTAACATCGTGAATATGGCAACGAAGATGTGGACAATATTCCTAACAATGTAAATAATTAAATATCATCTAATGTCAGAAATATAGATAGTTCTAGAAGAAGGCCGTGAATATGCAACGAAGATGTACAACAATGCCGAAACATCGTGAATATGGCAACGAAGATGTGGACAATATTCCTAACAATGTAAATAATTATAAATACATCATGTCAGAAATACAGATAGTTCTAGTTGAAGGCCTGAGAGTACAAGAAGCATCGTGAATATGGCAACGAAGATGTGGACAATATTCTAACAATGTAAATAATTACAATACCTAATGTCAGAAATAAGATAGTTCTAGTTGAAGGCCTGAGAGTACAACTGCCGAAACATCGTGAATATGGCAACGAAGATGTGGACAATATTCCTAACAATGTAAATAATTACAAACTAATGTCAGAAATACAGATAGTTCTAGTTGAAGAAGGTACAAGAGTACAATATGCCGAAAGGACATCATGGCAACGAAGAATGTGGACAATATTCGTGAATAACAATGTAAATAATCCTAACAACAATCCTAATGTCAGAAATAAGATAGTTCTAGTTGAAGGCCTGAGAGTACAACTGCCGAAACATCGTGAATATGACAATATTCCTAACAATGCAAAATACATAGAAGATGAAGGCCTGGACAATGAATTGAGAGTACAACTGCCGAAGCATCGTGAAATGGCAACGAAGTGGACAATATTAACAATGTAAATAATTACAATACCTAATGTCAGAAATATAGATAGTTCTAGTTGAAGGCCTGAGAGTACAACTGCCGAAGCATCGTGAATATGGCAACGAAGATGTGGACAATATTCCTAACAATGTAAATAATTACAATACCTAATGTCAGAAATACAGATAGTTCTAGTTGAAGGCCTGAGAGTACAACTGCCGAAGCATCGTGAATATGGCAACGAAGATGTGGACAATATTCCTAACAATGTAAATAATTACAATACCTAATGTCAGAAATATAGATAGTTCTAGTTGAAGGCCTGAGAGTACAACTGCCGAAATCGTGAATATGGCAACGAAGATGTGGACAATATTCCTAACAATGTAAATAATTACCTAATGTCAGAAATATAGATAGTTCTAGTTGAAGGAGTACAACTGCCGAAGCATCGTGAATATGGCAACGAAGATGTGGACAAATAACAATGTAAATAATTAAAATACCTAATGTCAGAAATATAGATAGTTCTAGTTGAAGGCCTGAGAGTACAACTGCCGAAGCATCGTGAATATGGCAACGAAGATGTGGACAATATTCTAACAATGTAAATAATTACAATACCTAATGTCAGAAATACAGATAGTTCTAGTTGAAGGCCTGAGAGTACAACTGCCGAAGCATCGTGAATATGGCAACGAAGATGTGGACAATATTCTAACAATGTAAATAATTACAACAATGTAAATAATATAAATACATCATCTGTGGACAATATAACAAGATAGATCCAGAAGATGGTCTGAGCGTACAACTGCCGAAGCATCGTGAATATGGCAACGAAGATGTGGACAATAGTTCTAACAATGTAAATAATTACAATAAATGTCAGAAATACAGATAGTTCTAGTTGAAGGCCTGAGAGTACAACTGCCGAAGCATCGTGAATATGGCAACGAAGATGTGGACAATATAACAATGTAAATAATTACAATAACTAATGTCAGAAATATAGATAGTTCTAGTTGAAGGCCTGAGTACAACTGCCGAAGCATCGTGAATATGGCAACGAAGATGTGGACAATGTTCCTAACAATGTAAATAATTACAATACCTCATGTCAGAAATACAGATAGTTCTAGTTGAAGGCCTGAGAGTAAAACTGCTGAAGCATCGTGAATATGGCAACGAAGATGTGGACAATCTTCCTAACAATGTAAATAATTACAATACCTCATGTCAGAAATATAGATAGTTCTAGTTGAAGGCCTGAGAGTACAACTCATCGTGAATATGGAAAACAGAAGATGAAGGACAATATTCCTAACAATGTAAATAATTACAATATTCCTAACAATGTCAGAAAAGATAGTTCTAGTTGAAGGCCTGAGAGTACAACTGCCGAAGCATCGTGAATATGGCAGCGAAGATGTGGACAATCTTCCCAACAATGTAAATAATTACAATACCTCATGTCAGAAATATAGATAGTTCTAGTTGAAGATGGCCTGAGCATCGTGAATACAACGAAGATGTGCCGAAACATCGTGAATATGGCAACTGAAGATGAGGACAGCAGTTCAATATTCCTAACAATGTAAATAATTAAATACATAATGTCAGAAATATAGATAGTTCTAGAAGAAGGTCTGAGAGTACAACTGCCGAAACATCGTGAATATGGCAACGAAGATGTGGACAATATTCTAACAATGTAAATAATATAAATACCTAATGTCAGAAATATAGATAGTTCTAGTTGAAGGCCTGAGAGTACAACTGCCGAAGCATCGTGAATATGGCAACGAAGATGTGGACAATATTCCTAACAATGTAAATAATTACAATAATAATGTCAGAAATATAGATAGTTCTAGTTGAAGGCCTGAGAGACAACTGCCGAAACATCGTGAATATGGCAACGAAATGTGGACAATATAACAATGCTAATGTCAGAAAATACAATGCCGAAGCATCGTGAAAATGGACATCATTCCTAACAATTAAAAATTACAATACCTAATGTCAGAAATATAGATAGTTCTAGTTGAAGGCCTGAGAGTACAACTGCCGAAGCATCGTGAATATGGCAATAAAGATGTGGACAATATTCGAACAATGTAAATAATTAAATACCTCATGTCAGAAATATAGATAGATTCTAGTTGAAGGCCTGAGAGAAGATGGTCGAAGATGTGGATTCTAACAATGTACAATAGTTCTAGGCCGAAACATCGTGAATATAGCAAATAAAGATGTGGACAATATTTCGAACAATGTAAATAATTACAATACCTAATGTCAGAAATATAAAGATGAAGGCCTGGACTGCCGAAGCATCGTGAATATGGCAATAAAATGGACAAAATAACAATAAAAATACCTCATCTCAGAAATATAGATAGTTCTAGTTGAAAAGGTACAACGCGAAGCATCGTACAACGAAGATGTGGACAAATATCCTGTAAATATTACAAACCTAAAGATGAGGACAGTTCTAGTTCGAACAATGTAAATAATGAATAAATACATGTGGACAATATTCTAACAATGTAAATAATACAATACCTAATGTCAGAAATACAGAACATGGTCGGAGCGTACAACGGCCGAAACATCGTGAATATGACAATAAAGGTGAGGACAGCAGTTCGAACAATGTAAATAATATAAATACCTCATCTCAAGAAATATAGACAGATCCTGAAAAGGTCGCATCGTACAACGACCGAAGATGTGGAAATATCCTGAATATGACAATAAGTTCTAGTTGAAGAAGGACACCAGTTCGAACAATGTAAATAATATAAATACCTCATCTCAAGAAATATAGACAGATCCTGAAAAGGTCGCATCGTACAACGACCGAAATATCCTGAATATGACAATAAAGATGAGGACAACAGTTCGAACAACGTAAATAATATACATAATGTAAATACCTCATCTCAGAAATATAGACAGATGCTGAAGAAGGTTGCAGCGTACAACGGCCGAAACATCGTGAATATGACAATAAAGATGAGGCCAACAGTCCGAACAATGTAAATAATTCTGCTGACACATGGAAAGAAAAAAAAGTATGTTAGAAATGAAACTTATACTTTAAATCAGAAAGAGAAAGCTCATATTTCTCGGATAAATAATAAAGAAAAAACGGCATAGAGAATTTGTCCCGAACAGGACATATTGGAGGCATGAGAAGTAGAGGAAACTGTCAGTTTTCATATCTTAAGCATTTGTGTGAGTGGATGACAGAACAATGAAATGAAGACGCGACAGATTCAAAAAAAGGTAATTACTTAAAACAAGAAATAAAAAGAAGTTGTGAAGCGCCATGATCCCCCAAGTTCTGAAAGAACACGGCAGCAGAATGGTGATCAGTTGTCTGGAAAGTCTACGTTTCTAGTTTACACCGTTTTAATGTTCACTCTTGTCCTTTGCTTCCGTTCAAATCGTCTCGCGAATTCTTTCTAGGTTCTTCGCACATAGAAAGCTTCCACCATGATCTCATAATGTCATCATATTTTGTGTTGTTGTTTTTTTTTCGTAATTTCTTTCCTTTCTCTCCCACCCATCACTATTTTAGCCTGTCGATCTCCATCGATCAGTTCACATTCTCCGACTGTTGTATGGCACTGGACCTGATCGTCCAGATCTCCTCAAGTCGCGTTATCGGAGAAACGCGTTCGAGAAGAGAAACGAGCTTCGCACGTGACTCGAGGGTCGAGCCCGCAGTTGCACCTGATTAGAACGACAATGTCACGTGAAGTACCCAAGTCTTCAAACCGGGGACAGCAATGTTGTTTTTTTTTTTGTTTTTTTGTTTTTTGTTAAAGGCGCGATGGCGTAATAATTGGACTAGCTTTTTAATCTCTTTTTTTTTTTCATCATTACTTTTGAATTTCTATCGAGACAGATTTACTGTCATCTCATGCCAAATACTTACAGTTGAATTGTCTGCCAGCCATTGCGATGTTGGAGTAGCTTTTGCACGTGTCATCTTTTTATAGGTTATCGTTCTTTCTTTCTGTCTTTAATATTTTGCAGTTAATCTTTCTTCTTTTCTTTCATTCTTTCTTTTTGAATATTTTTCTAAATTTCATTTCTGTTTTTCCTCACTTTTCCCATTTTTTTTCTAATTTCTACTTTTATTTATCAATACTCTTTTTATTACCTTTGATTTGATTTTCATTTTTTTCATCTTTTTTTTCAAATCTAATTTTTACTTTTATGTAAGATTCTTTTCTTTTTTTTTAATTTGTCTATTTTGATTTTGTCTATTTTTTCTTTTCTTTCACATGAATGTTAAATATTTATTTCTGTTTCATTTATTCTCATTTTCTGTATTCTTCAGTTTTACTTTCTTTTTTAGGTTGAAAGTTATTTCTTTCTTTTCTTTTTTTCAATGTTTCTTTCTTTCCTTCTTCACGTGAAGGTTATTTAAAGAATTTTCTTTCTCTATTTTTCATTCTTTCTTTCCTTTTTCACTTGAAGGTTGTTTTTAATTTTATTCCCTTCGTTTTCAAGCTGTTTTTGATTCTTTCTTTTCTTTAGTTGAACGTTGTTTTCTGAATTTTCTTTCTTTTTCATTCATTCTTTCTTTTTTACTTCTAGCTTATTTCTTAATATTTATCCTTCCTTTCTCATTTATTCTTTCTTCCTTTCTATTTTCAGTTGTGCGTTATATTTTTATTTTCTTTCTTTCTTGTTCATTCTATTTTTCCTTTTTCACGTGGAGTTTATTTTTTTAATTTGCTTTCTTTCTTTTTTATTCTTTTGTCCTCTCTTTCCTGTTGCCGTTGAACTTTAAAAAAATAATCATTCATTTTCATCTTTCCTTTTTTTTTCAGATGAACGCTGATTTTTCTTTCATACAATCTGATTCATTCTTTCTTTTTTTAGTTGAAAATTATATTTTAATTTTTTCTTTGCTTTTCATTATGTCTTTCCTTTTTCACTGGAATGTTATTTTTCATTACTTTTCTTTTCTTTTTCATTCATTCTTTTATTCTTTTTTAGTTAAACGTTTTTTTTAAAAAAGTTCTATCTTTTCCATTCTTTTTTCTTTTCTTTTTCACTAGAAGGTTATTTTTTAACTTTCTGTCCTTCTTTTTCCTTCTTTCTTTCCTTTTTCAGATGAACGCTATTTTTTAATTTTCTTTTATTTTTCATTCTTTATTTTTTTTCACTCGAAGATTATTTTTTTTAATTTCTTTCTTCCTTTGTCATTTTTGGCTGAACTTTATTTTTTTAAAATTTTTTCTTTGTTATTTATTCTGTCTTTTTTCTTTCCTTTTTCAGGTGAAGGTCATTTTTTAATTTTCTTTGCTTTTTCGTTCTTTGTTGCTTTTTCTTTTCAGTTGAACGTTGTTTTTAATTTTCTTTCATTTTCCTTCTATATTTCTTCATTTCTTTTATCATTTGAATCCTGGTTTTTAAATTTTCTTCCTTTCTCATTTATTCTTTCTTTCTTTTCAGATGAAGGTTATCTTTTAATTTTCTTTCTTTTAAAGTCATTCATTCTTTCATTCTTTTTTTCTGTTAGTTAAATATTAATTATTTTTATTATTATTTTAATAATTTTGATTAATATTTATTCTCTATTTATTCTTTCTGTTGAATTTTTAAAAAAAAATTAATCATTGCTATTCTTTCGTCTTCCGATTCCACTTTTCATATTATCAATTTTGTTCTTTCTTGCTCTTATTTCCTTCCGTCAATTTTTATTTGCCATTTTCTTTTCTTTTTTTCAATTTTTAAAAGGAGTCAATTTCTTGAGTCACTTTTACTTTTATTTACTTTTCCTTTTATTTCCATTGTTTTGTCCTCGTAAGATCTTCCTTTTACATTCGTTTTTTTTCTCTCATTTTATTTATTTCTTCGTCTTCTCTTACTGACATTCCTTCGATCTGAGAGAGGCTGAAAAATGGTCGGCTCCAGAACATACCCGACTCCACCTGTCATGCTCTGTCTCTACAGGTGCCAGATCAAAACAAGACAAAAAAAAAATGAAGCATTACTGTCAAATCTTGGATAGAGCTGCTCAATCGATACTTTCCAGGCTACACGGAGTTCAAAAGCGTTTACACGGCCCTTGTCATGGAAAATATTTTGACACGTTACATTATTTAGTTCCACCTCTTAAGACCTTTACAATTATGACCCACCATACCATGGAAATGGAGGTGAAACATTTTCATTGTCTTCGTATTTAATTGGTTAAAGTAAACTTCAGTTAGGGCAGTTTCTTCATAAGAGCTACTGCTCCTGAGGGTGTGTTTCCCAGAACATTTCAATCTTAACCTCTTCAAATCTAGGATGAACCTTTATGTATCCTATATATATCCTTATCATCTACAAATTTTATGACCATAAAAAGTGCATTCAGTAACTTTCTACCTTGATTGGCTCTTGGGTCTTGTATTAGCGTAAAACAAAAACATGACATGAACAGCTTCCCCCATTTCACTATGTCGTGTTAGAAAGTTTTTCTTGCCAGAACCCATCTATGACATGTATAAATCTGTCATTTTTCCATACATTGAATATTGTTGTCAGATGTGGTCTTGTCCTTCGCCTATATCTCTCGAGATTGTCGACAAAATCCTAAGAAGGGTCTGCAATTTTATCAGTCTAGACATCGCGACTTCAGTCACTTCCGCCCCCCACCGTGATAAGGTTTCCTTTTGTCTTTTATATAAATATTTTCATAGGAATTGTTGTAACCTTGGTTCCTAGGTCGCATGAAATTAAACGTATAATTTCATTTCCTACTAGGTCTGATAGTTTGCTTTGGTTTATTTTGTTTTACGGCATATTAACCTCAATTTTTATTGCTGGTAATAGTTTTTCTTTCAAAAATGTATTGATGATATTTTTTCAAATGTATAAATGATTTTTTTTTTCAAAAATGTATTGCTTGTAATAATTTTTCTTCAAAAATGTATTGCTGGTAATAATCTTTTACAAAGTATTTCTGGTATTAAAACCTATTTTTACATTTTCATAGAGTTTGAACTCCAGTTTGGGGGTTAACTATTTAGCTATAAGGTGGGACGCTGACAGGTGCTACCACCCAGGTCAGGGTGGACCTGGAAACACCAGCAATTAAGAGGTGGTTCCACACTCCTCAAAACCTGCCGATCAGAGGCCTTGTTGTTGGACGTAGTTTATCGTCTTACCCAGGACGCGGATGTAGTTTATCGTCTTACCCAGGACGCGGATGTAGCTTACCGCCATACCATAGGACGGTAATAAGTCCGATTTTTTTCCTGATTAAATAATAAATGTAACCGTAAATTCTATTCTAATAGTTTCTTCTCTCAACTTATTATCTGTTGAAATATTTTCCGATTTCTTGCTTCCCTACCACCTACATTGTTCAACAATTTAAATCCAAGATAAATCGCCATCTTTTGTCTTCTTGAATTCTGTTCTTTTATTGTCCTTTCTCATAACTAAATTATTTTCTTTCTCTTCTATTTCTAGTAGCCATTTGTTACTTAATAGCATTCTCATCTTGCTCGAGGTGAAATGATTTTAAGACAATGAGTGTTGGAGTGTTATGTTATATAATAGCTCATCTCTTACAGGGCAGTGAGTTGTGGACCATTTCCTCTCAGAATAAAAAAAAAGAAACTTATAGCGACAGTGATATGGGTCTGGCGATGATGGCGGAAAAATACCCTAGGCGTAAATTGTCAGCAACGAGCAAGCCTGAATTAAAGTCGGAACCGCAATAGAGCTTTTAATTATAATCAGAAAGAGGAATTTGAAAATTTATGATTGAAATAATGAGGAAATGGATTTGAGAATTTAACATCCATAAGATGAAGGCATGAGAAGCAGAGTGGTGGGAAATAGTGAATAGCGTACCTTTGAATCCGTATGAGTCGAGAGCAGAACGTGGACAAAGAGGAATAGGAAAGAGTTAATATTTACATTGAGCATCGAAGGATAGGAAGTAATGGAGAACCATAAACACTTACGTCTTGAAGTATGAATTTTAACGATAAGCATCATTAGGTACGTATTGAGATGATATTTTCTTTTGATTTCGTTCTTGTTTCTTTTTTACGTACAGATCGTTAAAATTTTTTAATTTCTTGTTCATCCCGCATAGAAACCACATCTTAGCAACCGGAAGCAAAACTAAAAGCGAGTTTGTGCGACTGGATGACAAAATAAGCGATGTCTTTTATAGCTCTAATACACGGGGAAAGCCTTGATTGCTGGCATTCTGAAGAAGAAAAACGCAAGAGGAAACGTATTTTCTAACGTCAGATTAGAAATCCTGCTTCTACTTTTCGTAATAGAACTTTAACAGAATTAATATTCGGCGGTCACGTTTTTTTTATTTCACTTCGGGTTACATGCAACATGCAACTATATCTACGCCTTTCAACAAATTAATCGTAACAAAACGAATAATTCCGTTATTATTTTATTTCGTATTTTCCCAAAGAAACATGAACTAGTGCACGTGTTATTAATTCGTATGTCCATTCAACGAAGTCGTTCCTTGCGAATTGACCACAGATTCTAGACTGGATTTTAAATCAAGAGAACTTCCGATCCAGTCGAGAGTACTTTGATTTTCTCACTGATAAAGATTGCCAGTGTGTTCGTGTAACGTTACAATTGTCATTACACTTCCTTGGAGTTACGTCCATCGCAGACAATGACCGTAGGACAACTAATCAACAGTCGAAACAATGGTGTCTGGGCGTGATAACAATCTGATGCAATCACAGATGACGCAGTATATTGAAGGGCAAACAAATTTCATCATACATCCCAAAAATCAATTCATATTACTACACACTACTGCAAATGACTTAATCTGAATTAAAAATAGGAATCGATTACGCCTTGTCATTCTAGTGGGTCTAAAACTAGCCGTATGAGGACAAAAAGGAAACTAAGGCAGTTGTTTCAATTAATTTGCACAAGAGTATATATATATATATATATATATATATATATATATATATGCTTTCCCTCCCCATCAAATCAATTCTCTTGTTTACAAATATATTTGTAGTTGCGGTGCTGACTACATAGGGAGAACTACTCAACGCCTGAACATGTGAAATAATCAGCATATTCCAACCAAGATAAGGAATCACACTTTATCTTTGAATGAACTTGTCCCAAATCCCTATGGTTCTGCCATATGTGAGCACCTTTTAAATAACAGAGGGCGTGCCTGCTAATTTTAGTGCTGATTGGTTCACTGTTCTATTCCGGTCGCACACTTTATTTCATCTCAAGGTGCTGGAGGCTCTTTATATTGGGTCCCGTAAGCCTTCCCTTTGTAAACAGCGTGAGTGTTTGTTGGGGCTCGCTGTCATTTGTCTCTAGCTCCTTGTGTTCAATTTTTTCCCTTTCTCCTACTCATTACACATTTTCTGTTGTTTTTTTATATATATATATATATATATATATATATATATATATATATATATATATTACATGAATCATTCATACAAAAAACAGATATATAAGTTAATGATTTAAATGTCGAGAATACATCTTAGCAAACAATTTAATAAAGTAGATTAACCCCGAACCTGTAGATGAATGTTATTATCCCTGTGATAAATTCCAGTTGCATAAGGTCTTTTTTTTAGTTTTTTACAAGCTTTCGTCTGTTCATTCACACATCTTCAGGTATGGAAATAGATTTGTTTTGTTTTTATACCGAGTAATACTGAGAAGTAAAAAACAAAAACATTCAAGAAGATGTCTGTATGAACAGACGAAAGCTTGTAAAAAACTAAAAAAGACCTTATGTAACTGGAATTTATAAACAGGGATCATAACATTATCTAGTGTAATTTCTGTAATTTAACAGGGAGGGGTGAGAGTTGTAGTTAAAGAGACAAGGTAGAGTATAGGGAGGGGTTAATTTCATATCTCTCTTAAGCATGCTTTATATTGGGGTAGGAGGAGTGACCGAACCTTGACCTATTTAGATGGTTAACTTAACGGAAATGATATGTAGGAATGGGAGGGGAGTGGGGAGAAAAGAAAAGGAAAAATGGAAAAGAGAGAGGAGACAGACGACAGTAATACAGATATATCTAAATGAGTGTTACGGCAAAGAGAGAGGGGGAGAGGGAAGTGAATCGAAAGAGGCTGTAATTTAGTTTTAATAAAATTATGTAAAATATAGATTTCAATGCTTGATAGAAATTTAGATGTCTAAAAAATGATGAATGTTATCAATTTAAACATTTAATTTTTTAAGTAAATATTTTAGGGACTTAATATAAGTTAACTACTATTTTTATTAGCACATTAGGGACTTAATATAAGTTAACTACTATTTTTTTAGCACATTTATCGAGAACATATTAAAGAAATATTTAAAATTATAATAGTTTATTTACCCGATCAATTGTACTTCCATAATATTGTAAAAAAATTTCGGTAACAATAACATCTATATTAGTTTTACTTTTAATCTAATTTATGAATGTAATTTTTCTTTATTATTATATGGGTAAACTTAATTAAGGTTTAGGTTTCATTATTTAATAATATT